TCACCCCTTAAGAGTAGGAGTAGAGTAGATCTCGGTGAGTTCTTCAGCGAGTAGGGCTGTATCGGTCCGGCCGACCTCCGGCTTGTCTGTAAGTACCGTCATGGCTTATACTTCTGTTCGTATGGCTGCATCGATCCGGTCGACCTCCACTGCGACTCTAGTATAAACTAGTTATCGACTCTTGTCTAGTTCAAGTACGGCTGCATTGATCCGGTCGACCTCCACTGCTCGAACTAGATTAAGGTCAAGTTATCGGCTCTATCTAAGGGTGGCGTCCTTCGGATAGATTCATTAAGTTACTGATATTGCTTATTGTTTTCATTATTTATTTAATTATAGCAATATCACTTTGCCCGATTGGGATTGATCTAGATCGGCCTTATATCCTGTTTAAACCATCGTTTATTAATCTAAACTGATCTAATCTGCACCTTAAACGATGAGTTATGTTTTATCGATTGTTTTATGTCAATCTTGATCGCGCATAGTGTGCGGTTAAGGCATGCCTGGTCTTGAATAGATCTACCGGCTAACGAAAACCGTTTCATGGCCCGTTATCACGGCCTGTGTGATTCTGCCTCACACCCCACTGTTAGCACCGTGGAGCGGGGATCATTATTTGGTAGATTTGTTCCTAATAGGGCATGACCTTAACTGTGCACTATGCCTGAATCGGCTGTTTTAGCCGATATCAAGTGTTTTCACATATACGGTTCACGCTACGAGACCGTTGAAGTAAGGGTAGATTGAAAGATATGTTAGCCCCATGATCTTATTATTGTGTTACGGTCTGCATAATTCTGCCTCATGCCCCACTAATAATTGGTAATAAGTTAGGGTCGTCAAATCTATTGTTGTTTCTACGGCCTGTATTATTCTGCCTCATGCCCCACTGGTCATAGCGATAGATGAGATCTAATATGTTCATTAGATTTATCTCTATTAAATGGTTAAATGATGACGAGCTGTTTCTTTTATATAAAAAGGGTTTCGGTTACTTATAATCATTGGCTTAGCATAAACTGATTAGTGTTGACATCTTATTGCCATTGACTAATATTTGTCTAAATAACGATATTCATCCTGAATGATAACCGATTTCTTCCTTCCATAATTTCATGAGCTTTAACTGATTTATTCTTATGAGTATGCTGGAATCGGATATGTAGTCGATCTCCTTCCACATTGGCTCTCAGAGCCATACATTCGGAACTGCCTGGCAACACCGGCATGTTCTGCTTTAAATTACTGATGAACTTTCTCTTCTTGTCAATTGCAGGGTCAAATTGACTGGTACGTCTCGGGAGGAGTACGTATGATCGACCACCCCTATGTTGAAGCCAGGCGGATCTATAGCTCCATCGAGTAAACCCTTCCGGCTTGCTCGTGTGCCCGGCACGAGACGAATTTTCGTGCCGACAATGCCTGTATTGCATTGAGATCCTTGGTACATAGAGTGCCTGTATGCGTATATGCTAGGATAAATGGCTGAGAGCAACCTAACCTATCTATAGCACTAAGACCAGGTATACTAGCATAACTATAGCACTAAGAATAGATACACTCTAACAGATAGTATTGGATTGTGGCCTGAGTAGGATTCAGTTTGAGATGGGTATTGGGAACAGCCGACTAGTAAATATCAATATTGGCAATAGCCGACTAGTAAATATCAATATTGGCAATAGCAGAGATCATGACATGATAGAATTTGCAAATTAGGAAGATGGCTGCACGTATTAGGATTTAGGAACAACCAATTTGTCGATTGTCATTGACCTGTACTCCGTACTCCTCGAGATGACAAATTTTCGACCTGGGTAGATAGAACTGCATGCGAAACCTTGGAAATAGATTCGATTTCAGTTTTATGTATTATTAAACTTAGGGTAACCATACAACGCATTGGAATATCGCCTGGACAAGTATCAAGTAGTAGCAAAGATGACAGAGAACATGCCGCCATCGTAAATTTCAGTTTATTCGAGATAAGAGTGATGATTGGAATCCCTGCATGCTTTCACATTGGCTTCTGTGAGGAAGTGGCTGTCTTTACATCAATGAACATATTGGGCTAGGTTGAGTTATGGGCTTATCTTACTCACTCTGGGGATCCATGGGGAAATTTAAAATCTTCCATGCCCTTAATCAGTTTCGGGTTCACAAACCCGCAAATCCGGGGAGAGGGGGAATCGAACCCACCCTCACCCCCGAAGGGTCCAAAATATCCTTGGGTACCTAACTCGACTCTACCCCATTGCCAACCCTAGTCAAGAGGAAGTCTAGAATTTAGTTTTGTTCCTATTTTTTACCTGCACACGAGTTGTAGCCGCAAAGAGGGCAAGATGAGTGGCATCTATGTGGAAAAATACCGCAACACTTCCCTTAGAATTCTCTTTCTATCGATGTATGGCAGCAAGATGCACTCAAACCGAAAATATTGTGAACACAAACTTATATATCTCATCGAGCTCTATAACTCTAATGTACTTTTTTTTTATCTTCGTCTAAAATCATACTTTGCTAAATTTAAATACTCGTATCGAATAGACATAGGGGTATACTTCTGCATGTTTTTTCCTGGGATGCTTATTTTTTGCAGAAAACGAATTAATAAAATACAGAAATAAAAAAATTCCAAAAACCGCCAACTTAAACCCACACGCTATCGAATGGACTTTGCTCCATTCAATTCTTCACAACGGCCCAGCCCACGTCGCGCAAAGACCCATTTGCGACGGCCCATCCCTCGCTTATCCATTCCATCCAACGGATCTTTGGAGATGGACTGAGGCCCTCCGATGAGCTCTCCACCGGCTCTCCGCCCTTCGCCGGCGGCGCAGCCGCTGCCGCCCTCGCCGCCGCCGTCTGGTCCTCAGCAGGCCCGCGCGAGCTTCGAGGCCCTCCTGCGACCTAGCACGTGGCGCCAGCGCGCGTTACGGCCCGCATCCGCATCCGCTGCCGCGACTCGTGGCGGCGGAGTCGCCTCCTTCCAACCCGCTCGCCGCCGTTGGCGCCATCCGGAGGGACGCGGAGACGGGGCTCGCCTTGCTCCTTGTCGTTCTCACTGTGGTATCATGCCTCTCGTTACCTGTTGCCTTTGGATTTGCCTTCGACTTGGAAGTTTCTGGGAGCGGGCTGAATAGATATAGGAGCGGGTTGTTTCATAGTATTGGATTCAGTTTGAGATGGGTCTTAGGAACAACCGACTAGTAAATATCAATATTGGCGATAGCAAAGATCAGGACATGATAAAATTTGCAAATTAGGAAGATGGCTGCACATAAAGGAACACCCAATTTGTCGATTGTCATTGACCTGTGCACCCCCAAGATGACAATTTTTTTACCAGGACAGATAGAAATGCATGCGAAACCCTGGAAACAGATTTGATTTCAGTTTGATGTATTATTAAACTTAGGGTAACCATACAACACATTGGAATATCGCCTGGACAAGTAGTAGCAAAGATGACAGAGAACATGTCAAGCCATTGTAAATTTCAGTTTTATCCAAGATACAGAGCAGTGAGTGGAATCTCTGCACGCTTTTGCATTGCCTTCTGTGAGGAAGTGGCTGTCTTTACATCAATGAACATAAGTTTGAAAATAATTGTTGGCTTATTTAATGACATAATATGTGTATCAGACGATCAGTACAACCATACCTTCCGCTTGTTGTTAACTTATTGGTCAATCTAAATGGTTCTTAAGAGTAGCACTATCTGGTGCTTGTGGGGATCAAGCACTGAAACTGGCAGTAGAAAAGACAAGTTCACAAGCATGTGTTTATAAGGAATTCAATTTGATAGTGGAACTGCCAATCAACACTACCATATTGTGCTCCTACTTCGTTACTATTCTTGCAGTCTGAGCAACAAATTTAACTTCTGTATCCAACCAAACAAGCAATTGAGGTTTAGGTTACCTGTTACCCTTTTTCTCTCGTCACGAATTGTCATTACTAGCCTTAAAAAAGGAAGAAAGAGAAATGTGGTTATGTTCGAAACGAAGTAATCACACTACCATGCATTTATATATATTTACTGAAACATTTCTGCAGTCCATAGAGCAGTTTTGGTTTCACCAATGTGGAGGCTAGCCTGACGAAATATTGATTCATAAAGTTTCTCCTATACCATCGAAGTTAAAGGGAAAAATGTAAAATTATGCTTGGTCAGAATCAATTGTAGATTGTAGCTGCCCCAGGTGCATGGGGCATAACTCAAATCCAATAGTGGACATTGTTTAAGAACCATGCATTCATCATTATCTGCAATCAAATTTCATCCTAATTCTTGCACACCTTGCAATTAACTTCTTGATCCTAATTTCAGGTGATGAGCTTCTTTCTGTCACTGACCATCTTATCATTTTCAGCAACCAGAGTGAGTAAATCATCTGAATAAATGATGTCCAAGACAGTATATTTTGTGAAGCAATCTCCTTGTTCTTAACAGGTGCTGCAGAAGATGGAAACTGCAGCAAATAAATTGGCAAAAGTATTTGCAGAAGAGGTGCCTGGAACTCTTCACTAAAGCTCTCCTTCATGGAGATCAATGATTTAACTAGCCAGTTAAAGAACCTTAGGTAACACATTGCAAATGCTAGATCCAGAGTTTTAACGACTGCATAACGGTGTTTAAAATGTTTCGCGTTCTGCTCCAACACAGGAAGAGGCTTGCAATAAGTAGATTTGGGAAGAATGCTAATTGTAAAGCAACCTCAAGTTCTCGGTAATCTGCCAATGACAGGTCAGCCACTCAGCTCTCCTTCCTCCTAGAGTTCTGGATGAAATAATAGACGACGCTTCCCACTGCAACCCTGCACATTTGCATAAACATAGAAACATCATAAGTGTGCTGCTGTGATGTAACTATGTAAGTAACAAAGTGCATCTTGTGTGAACCGAAAATCGACAAAGGACTGGCTTTATTGGTTAGGAGATATGTTTAGTCCATACCTGTATGAGATAATGTAAGCGACATGCCTTCAATAGCTCTACAACTTGGATGAGAATTTCTTGAGGCCTTGTTCAAAGCTCTTCATCTTATCTGGTGTTGATAGATTGGCTAACAGGGTAACCCTTGCTGTTGACACCAGATCTTTGCGCTCTGACGTGGAAGGATCAATCTGCCATATCTGGACCTCCCAAACCTTTTCCAGAATGAAGAATTTTTTTAAACTCAAATTTTGAGATTCATTAAGATAGATAGAAATAAGTTGCACAAATAACTGAGGAATATATGCTTGAAGAGAAGGCAATCACAGAACAGGTGGAAACCCATACACACACACGCTGGGTTGTTGGTAGTAAACTAGCTAGTAGCATTGCATACAAAACACATGCTGAAGATAAAATGTACACACCTGCTCCCACAGAAGCGATGAATTGGTATATATGTTATTTGTGCTCATTGTGATTTTTTCTGCTAATATCTGTGAAGGTGGTGGGCTAAAAAAAGTCACGCGAGTGAGTATGCGACTGATATAGCCATCATCAAATCCTGAGGTGCCGAAACGGAATTGTTGAAGAAGCATGATCATGATCAGTGAGTGAAGTATGTTGAATTCCGCCCCTAGGGTTGCAACTACATGGTTTAAGATGCTAAGTTGAAGAGTCGTCGTGAACCAGTTACATGTAAGTCTATTTAAATGGATGTTGTACCTTGTGTGTACGTTACTAGCTGTAGCAGCTAGTTTGTGAAAACAATGTATGTACAGATTGCCACATCAGTTTCACTCTTGTATGTACGTTACTAATAAGTTGTACTGTGTTAGGTCCAAAGGAGGATTTGTGTAAACAAGTTCAGTTTCACTCTGGCAATCGCCACATCAGAGTCAGTGTCAACAGCTTGTTCGTCATGATGAATGTATGATTGGCAGGTTGACACCCAAGTCAAGGGGATGAGATTGTAGCTATCCATCCCATACTCGTCAGAGATGGCGGCGACAGTTCCCGACGACTGCCTGCAGCCGAGACGAGCATTTGTTTCCAACACTCAAGACCAAGCAAGCGCCGTGGTGAGGACGTCGTCGTTTCGACCTTTGCTACCGCTGGCAGGTAGTACGGTAGAAGCCTACAATCATGACGCTGGGCTGTTGCTTTGATGATCCCACTGCAAGGCGTTGCTTGCTTTTCAGATGGGGTAGAGTCGTCAGAGTGCGTACCTGGATTTTGCGGCCGAGCTGGATTGGCGTGGCCCGCGCCTGGACGAGGTCGCCGAGGCGCGCGGGGCCGACGTGGTTGATGGAGAGCTGCACCCCGGCGAGCCTCCGGTACCCCGACGCGACGTAGCAGCCGATGCTGGCCGTCACCTCCGCCATCAGCGCCGACACGCCGCCGTTGAGCCAGTCGAACGGCTGCATCCATCGATCACCTCCGTCATCCATCACGCGCGATAGGGAATTAATTAGGGATGAGACGAAAACAAAAAAATAGAGGCGATGGCGGCGGCGCGTGCGGACGATCCTATTCCTACTACCTGGCAGCAGGTCTCGGTGACGGGGAGGCGGCCGACCACCTCCTCGGCGGTGACGCGGGTGAACTCGAAGCCCAGCGCCTGCAGCGCCCGGTCCACACGGAAGGCCGCCGCCGGATGAACAGGAGGATCGCCCGCGCCGCCGCCCATCGCCGACTCTTGCCTCTGTCCTTGTTCCTGTGTGGAGGCTGGAGGAAAAAGCTGGCGTGGTACAGACCGACAGACGTAGTATACGCGTGTGTAATTAAAGACTCAGCCAGCCAACCAGCCCAACGGACCGAAACGTATGTGGGCCTGGCGGGCTCTAGTACAATTCTGCTTTGTGCGTTGCCCTCCTCTCTTTTAGTTAGGCCGGGCCGTTGGGCCCTCGGCCGCTGGCTAACGGGTGACCAATATGGAATAGGGCGCTGACGGGTGGCCTCCATTTTCCCCATTTAGCTCAACTTTTGTGGCCCAGATTTCGTGACTCGACTGGCGTCCACACGTCCAGCCCCCGCAGCGCGTCCAGACGCAGCTCCCACCGGCCAACCGTGATTCGATACGTATGTGGGCTTGGGTTGCCAACGGAAGCGGTATCCCTACCAACAGACCGGAGTCCAACGGGAAGCCTATTCCTGCCTGCGTAATTGAAGGGGAGAGCACGCGCTCGCGTCCACTGCCATCCCCTGACGGGCCCCCTCTACCGGCCCCTGACAAGGATGCAAGGCAGCAGAAGGTGAGGAGGGAGATGCGACACCTGATCTACTTTTAAAACATTCAGATGCAACACTTGTAACATACGTTTGAAGACAGATGAAACATTTAAAACATGCATTTGAAATATTTGCAAAAACATCTGAAAATCATTGTAAAACATACGCAACATCTAGATAAACACAGACGCAACATATGTGTGAAACATATGCAACATCCAAAATAAACACACTTGCAACGTACGTCTGAAAAAACATATGAAACATTGGAAACGGAAGCTTGCAACATACGTGTACAACTATTACAACATAGGCAACATGTCGATCTACTTTTGCAACATCCATATGAAACAACTGCAACATACCTACGAAACATCTGAAACATTTGAAACATAGGCTTGCAACATGCGCTTTTAAGCGCAATATCTACTTGCTGCTTGGACGAAAATGGAGGATCGTCGATGTGGAGCTCGACACTAGCGTGGAGCTTGATGCCACGTGTGGCGCGGAGATCACTGGTGTGGAGCTCGTCAGCGGCACGGACCTCAGCGGGGGCCACGACAGGTGGATGGAGCACGGCCGCGACGGGAGGCACAAGTCCGGGTAAGGGCGCGCGGCGTGAGCGGGGGCGGGGTCCGTCTCGCGAGCAGGGGCACGCAAAGCGTAGAGCGAGCGAGCGACACGAGCAAGGGCGACATGGGTGAGGGCGGGCTCCATCCCATGAGCTGTGGCGGCAGCGCGCAGAGTGAGTGGGCGACGCAGGCAGGGTCCGTCTGGACGGACGGATGCCCTATAAGGAGCATTAATTACCGTCTGTATTATGACCTTGCCACACCTACCAAGGCTGAAGAAATGACATAAGCTCTGTTCAAGCTCTGTTCGTTTAGACTTATTTGGCTTATAAGCTATGGCTGAAAATATTGTTGGCTGATTTGGTGTAAGAGAAAAATACTGTTCGTTAGCTGATAAGTCATGACTTATAACGCGAATACGACAAAGCGAAAAGGCTGATAATACTGCCCAAGTTACAAATTGCACATTATATTGAACACTAAACACCCCGTAGCAGCCGTCCGACCTTCGTGATAACTGGGGAGGCATACATATATATATATATATATATATATATATATATATATATATATATATATATATTACTTCCTTCAACCACCCAGGAATCCCTGCCTCCTCAGCCCTTCTGCTACTGTTCACTTTTTTCTTTTTTCCCCTCTTTTTCGTTTTTTCCTTTTTTTGTCTTTTTTTTTCTCCTCTGGCTTTCGGCCGTTGTTCTTTTTTCTTTTTTTTTCTTTTCCTTTTTTTTTTTGCTCCTCCGGGCTTCGACCATTGTTTGGTGCAGTTCAATCTTTTCGTCCCCCCTACGCGCGCGCAGCGTAGCGCGCGAATCAGCCTAGTTTTATTATTACATATAATGCATATCTTGAGTTGCTCTTCTCTCTAGAGTTTGGCGTATTTCTTAATGCTTGCTTCGTGGGTCGACATCTCCTCTGGTCTTGATGGGTTTTTTTATCAACATGGTAACTCTTGCCGTCGACACCAGATCTTTGCACTCCTCTGTGGAAGGGTCTGCTCGCCATATCTGCACCTCCCAGACCTGCCAGAACAAGGAATGTATATTATATTTTTATTAGCCTCATCAGGGCATTACATTTCTTATCTTGATTTATTAACAGCAAAGAATGCATTGCACCGTACCCAGCGAAGTAATTAGGAGTAAGTAAAATAAATTAGTACTAGTCTTTAACAGCAAAGAATGCCTTTGCCTATGCTGACTAATGCCGGGTCAAACTAGATACTGGCACGTATTTCCATCTACTAGGCTGCTAACATGCATTTGAATTGAATATATATATATATATATATATATATATATATATATATATATATATATATATATATATAGATCCTGGTCTTCGTTCCATCAAGCAGTTGACCGCCACCCAGTTGTTGCTTCTTTTTTTTCTTCAATAAATAATTCAAAAGAACCCACAAAAACTTTGCCACGATGCTTCTTAGAAGAAGAAAATACAAAGGTACATGCAAGCGTGCCACCCTAAATCTTTAGTGATGAAATCCGGGTAAAAAAATCATACAATAATTTGGTACCAATTAGTTACGCATGGGAGTTCAATTTCACAGGAATTAATTCCGAACCGAAAATTCGTACAAACGACAACACGATATGATCGATATATACACGATGAAAATTGAATTGAGCCCTGGAGTTTAGAGAGATAGATTACAGAGCTTGAGAAGAGACCTGGATGCTGCGGCCGAGCTGGACGGGGGCGGCCTTCGCGCGGACGACGTCGCCGAGGCGGGCGGGGCGGAGGTGGTTGACGGACAGCTGCACGCCGGCCACCCGCCGGTACCCGGACGCCATGTACGCGCCGACGCTGGCCGTGGACTCGGCGACCAGCGCCGACACGCCGCCGTTGAGCACCCCGAACGGCTGGCAGCAGGTGTCGGTGACGGGGAGGCGGCCGGCGACCTCGCGCGCGCCGATGCGCGTGAACTCGAAGCCCAGCGCGTGTAGCGCCTTGTCCGCTGCCACGGGGACCTCGTCGTCCTCAGCCGCTGGTGGCGGAGTCTTGCTGCTGCCGCTGTCGCCGGCCATCGCTCTCAAAGTCTTCAAACTGCCTATGGTGCGTGCGTGTGTAGCTAGGGTGGCGTATAGTTGAGAAGAAGAGACGGCCAGAGGGTGTCTGCGCTTGCATCCGCCAACCAAACAAGAATGAGGACGTTGGCTGATTTGCATAGATATCTCTAGGCTGAAGGCATTCCTTGCGCATACGTATCCGTGTCAACGGTCGTCGCAAAAAAAAAAAAACGTGTCAATGGGCTTGTTGGGCGAGCGGTGCAGGTGCAGTGTAGGTGGGTTGTGGGCTTTTATTAGGCTGGGCTAGTTGGATAGAATAGAAGCCTAATAAAGCTTCACTTGGAGTTCGCTATAGATGGCCAACGGGCCGGCCCGGCACGGGCCTGTGAAAGCACGGCCCGATGGGGGTCGGGCCGGCACGGCACGACGTGCCTCCCGGGCCCTCACAAGGCCACGGGCCTGGCCTCCGGCCAGGCACGGCACTATGAGCCGATTTTCGTGCCGGCCCGGCTCGAGAAGCACGGCCAATTTCACAGGCCGTGCCAGCCCGAGGCCCACTGGCTGCCGACAGAGAGAGAGGGGAAGGGCGATGCCGCTCGAGAGGTGTAGGGGATCGACGCTGCTCGTCGCCGAGGAGATCGACGCCGGATCCGGAGGAGGCCAGCGCGCTCACCACTCGTCGGATCCGTTGCACCGGTGCTAGATCCGCCGCCACTGTTCACTGGATCCGCCGGAGAAGGGAGGGAGGGAGGACGCGGGGAGCGGATCCGCCACGGAGGAGGAGATCCGCGCCGTCCCGCGCTGGATCCACGCCGCCCCTGCTCGGAGACGTCCGCGCGTGGAGGAGAGCCGCCTTGCTCCGTGCCACCACATCCTCAGGCCAGATCTCGTCGGCCGCTTGCAGGGGAGCATCACCGCTGCCGGGGAGCGCCGGATCCCACCGCCTTCTTGCGAGAGCGCCGCTGCAGGGGCCGCGCGAGCTCCGCCGCGGGGGGCCACGCGAGCTCCACCGCGGAGCGCCGCTGCAGGGGCCGCGCGAGAGAGAGGGAGAGGGGCACCGTTGTTGCGTCAGGAGATAGTGGAGGGAGGGCCAGAGGGAGAGAGAGTGGAGGAGGGAGAGATCGACGGCGCGTGAGGGAGAGCGACAACGCGTGAGGGAGAGAGGGCGTCGTATCTGAGAGGTAGGGGCTGGCCAGGCCGGCTGGGGCTCTTAGCAGGCCAGCTGGACGGGCCGCCAGCGGGCCTCCGGTTCTGTAGCAGGCCGTGCCGTGCCGACCCACGTGCCCGGGCCCGCTAGCCGTCGGGCCGGGCCAAAAAAATGGGCCTTGGGCCGGGCCGACGGGCTTGGGCTTCATGGCCAAATATAGAGTTCTCATGCTTTGATTTTTTTTGAGAATTACACAGTGATCGCTGTCGACGGGGACATCGCCAACTACTGAAAGCATAACATCGTTAAATCCTAGAATAAATTCAGAAAAAATGCGAGCACCTGTGCCAATTCAAGGACTTAAAACCAGATGGGCAGTTTCCACTACAAGTAACCCAACTAACTGATCTATGATCAGTTCACCTTGTATTTGAATTTTACTTTGATTTATTATGTTTTGGGTTAAGTATTTAGGTGGGATATGAAGCCCTATGAATAAGCTTTCTGCTGGATTATTTAGCTCTGGCAATGCCTAGCAACGTGATCGCGTAGATAGATCCAGATGGTAGCACACGAGACATACGCGTTTATACTGGTTTGGGGCACGGTATCGTGCTAAACCCTACTCCAGTGGTACGTCTGCTCTTGTATTTGTATGCTCAATTATAGGGACCATTGCTCTTAGCTACGTAGTAGATTGGAATGGTGGAAGGTGGATCCCGAGCCTGAGGTCCCTACCCTCCTTTATATAGGTAGGAGAGGTAGGGTTACAGAGAGGGCGATCGGGTTAAGAGATTGAGTTCCTAGTTTGTTACACGATATGCGCAACATATTGATCCTAGCTATCATCCAGATACACCCGCCTTGGCTTGCCTTGACCTCCACATTGGTTGACCACGTCAACCCTTATGGGCCTCCTCCTTGGCGGCTGCTAGGCTGATAGCCTGGCGCTGGTCACATATACGGGCGGTGCAAGTACCCTTGTCCTATATATCTGACAGTAGCCCCCGTAGGACTTAATGATAAGCTAGCATATAGCCTTAGCCCTCTAGATGTCGCAATTCCCCTATAAGTTCTGCATACTATATGTCGGTACAGAAAGTGACCAACTAGTGAATATTTGTAGTTTTGCTGTACGTTGTGATCGGAGGTGGCCTAGCACTCAATGACACAGGATTTATACTGGTTCAGGCAACGTGCCCTACGTCCAATTTGGGTCAGTCGGTGACTTTATTCCTGAGCTCAGGTGCTCGAAGTCTATAGTGGGGTTACAAACGAGAAGGAGAAAGGTGGGGTATACGAGAGGCCCGATCGGGTCCGACCGGAAGGGCCGAGAGCGACCGGAACTCCGCTATGAGCTAGGTGTTTAAGCGTGTGCTTGAGGGCTTGTGAGCTATCAATCTAGTGAGTCTCAACTTGAAGAAGTCGACCTCCTTCGTTGGAGGGAGCGCATCCCCTTTAATAGATGAAGGGGATGGCTTTACAGGTGAGAGGGAGAGAGTATGGATGTTACTAAGTCTTGTTGCCCACGCCGAAGAGGACAGTGATGATGGTAGGCGCCCACAATACTGTTGATGTCACTATAGAATGTTAGGTGCATAGGGGAGTTTGCGTTGTCTTCTTCAGGAAGGGTAGATGTTGGTACCTGCAAAATACTATTGGTATGTGAGGAGCCCTACCACGTGTACCAGGTATGGTGAATCCTGGTGCCCACTATCAATGCCCAGATGCATGTGGGGGGCTTCTTGCCATATGGGAGTCCAACGGCGCCTACAATACTATAGACACAAATGTCGGCGCCTACAATACTATTTGTGTCAGGGCGGTTGTGGAGCACTGTTCCTGCAGGTGTACAGGGTATGGTCCCGGTATCGTGGTTTGACTTTGTGTGCTGCCTTCTCCATTCGCCCCTGATCCCTTCTGAGCGGGCGTCCTCGGTCGGATGGCCCCATTCGGCCCTGGCCACGCTAGTCGGAGAAGAGCGGTAAGCAGGCTTCCTATGGGGTCCCCGGTCGGAGACATGGGGTTGGAGTAGGAAGCAGCATTTTGGGCTAGGCCTTTCCGATCGGAGAGACCGCCCAGAGGCGGCTGGTGTCTGAAGCGAGTGCTCCGGTGCTCCGGTTGGAGAGGTGGGCCAAAGAAGTTGACGAGCGGGTGCTTGTTCTTTTGGGTAGACCTTCCGGTCGGTGACCAGACTGTGCTTCCAACCCATTATGTTTTAGACTCTTGTGCCGGCCCATGAACTACATGCTGTTTTCTTAGGCCGAGCCCTGGAGTTGAAGCCAGTCCTTGAGGGACCCTGGGTTTATGAACCTGACAGGAGCCCCCGAGCCCCCGGGTGATTTTGAGCGGAATCGTTCGGGGGATTTTTTGTGTTGCCGTTGGGTGCGCGTGAGTGCACCCGCGGGTGTAGCCCCCGAGCCCCTGGGCGGTTCGGGCAGAACCGGCTGGGGGGTTTTCTGTGTTGTCAGTGGGGTAGGTTTTTCTGTTGTGTCGGCGGGTGCGCGCGAGCGCACCCGTGGGTGTAGCCCCCGAGCCCCCGGGCGGTTCGAACAGAACCGTCTGGGGGTTGTTGTTTTCAGCGGGCATGCGTGTTTTTTAGTTTGAGACAGAATTTTGTTAACCATGGTGTCGTTGCGCAGCCAAGGCGGTTGCTAGGCATGGAGATGAGACAGAACTTATTGATCCCGGCGTTAGTGCGCACCATGGATTGGGTGAGAAGGTTAGTTCGGGACAAACCCTGGCGTCGGTGCGCGCCACGGATGGAGATAGCTTGGTTCGGATGCGACAGAGCTCACCGATCTTTGGCATCGATGCGCGCCGTGGGATGGGTCGAGGCGGAGTCGCAAGCGGACCCAGGCGTCGGTGCGCGCCGTGGATCGAAAGTTAGTTTAGTTAGTTTAGGAATCGGTCGGGCCGGAGCTCTGTAGCCGTATGACGTGAGTTCGGGGTCGTGGTCCTACGAGTCTAGAGCGCAGTCAGAAGTGAAGCCGTTACGCGAGTTTAGGAGTCGCTGTCCTAGGATTATTGGAGCACAGTTGGAAGTGAAGCCGTTATGCGAGTTTAGGAGTCGCGGTCCCAGGATTATTGGAGCGCAGTCGGAAGTGAAGCCGTTACGCGAGTTTAGGAGTCGCGGTCCCAGGATTATTGGAGCGCAGTCAGAAGTGAAGCCGTTACGCGAGTTTAGGAGTCGCGGTCCCAGGTTTATTGGAGTGCAGTCGGAAGTGAAGCCTTTTGAAGCCAAAGCGTAGTTAGTTTGGTTAAAGATCGGATAAGGCGATGCTCATGGATCCTGGCGTCGGTGCGCGCCGTGGGATCGGGCGAGTCAGAGTCGTGGATCTGGCGAGTTCGAGGTCGCCGTCCTTGGCATTTGTCTTGAGCCCCCGAGCCCTATCGGGCCTTCGTGGGGGTCGATGTGAGTTGTGTGCGTTACCCCATCCTTGGTTCCTCACAAACCAGAGGGGCTGAGTTTCGTCGCCTGTCCCGATCGCTTAGGCTCGAAGACTAGCTCGGTGAGTTCGCTAACGGGTGTGATCGAGTGAAATTCGGGTCCGTCGTTCGTGATGGGGTCGGCATAGCCCTCTTGTGACATTCCACTGCTCCTTTACCTACAACCCGGTAGATGCCTAGGTCGTTCAGGAGACCGACCCGGGTGGCCTAACGGCCTCCCCTCGATGGAGATTCTGTGGGCCTAGCGAGAGGTTTAGGATCGAACGAGAAGGTTGAGATGACCCGGTCTGCTTGACCGGGCGAGGGCCGCACGGTGCTCATCTATAGTTTTCTCCGCTAGCTCTATTGGTCGCTCATGTCGAATGAGATGACCGCCGCTTCGTGACGCAACATGGAGCGTTCTGATGCATTTCGCTACACA